CCCGTCGCCGGCCTCCCGGATTCCCCTGATCCCTGGTCCCCTGGTACTGTCAGGATCTGCTCCGACCTTATTATCATGCCCATGTGTTCCTGATTATTCTTGTGTATTTATACCCTGTTTTGCACTTTTTGTTACGGCTGTTGCTACGGCCGTAACACTTGTCCTTTGTCAGATCATTGTTTTGTTTTCCCCCTGTTACGTTGCTCTTGCTGTGTCATCCTATCTGCCATCGTCATCATCACCGTTGTCTTCCTCCGCTTATACGAGTCTGGGTCGCGGGGGCAGCATCCCAACTAGGGTGCTCCAGACCGTCCTCTCCCCGGCCTTCTCCACCAGCTCCTCCGGCAGGACCCCAAGGCGTTCCCGGACCAGATTTGAGATGTAACCTCTCCAACGTGTCCTGGGTCGACCCGGGGGCCTTAGGGGAGGCGTCCAGGAGGCATCCTGACCGGATGCCCAAACCACCTCAACTGGCTCCTTTCTATCTGGAGGAGCAGCGGTTCTACTCCGAGTCCCTCCCGAATGTCCGAGCTCCTCACCCTATCTCTAAGGCTGAGCCCGGCCACCCTACGGAGGAAACTCATTTCGGCCGCTTGTATCCGCGATCTCGTTCTTTCGGTCATTACCCAAAGTTCATGACCATAGGTGAGGATTGGGACGTAGATTGACTGGTAAATCGAGAGCTACCTGCCATCATTCATTGAATCCATTTATTTTACCTGAGCCTGCGTTTCTGCCTTCTGGTCCAGCTCCACCACACATGGGCCCAACACCTCCTCTTACATTGCACCGTGACACCTGAGCCTTCCTGGTAAGGTCTATTCAGGGGTTCTGGAGAGGAGGGTCTGTCGGATTGTTGAACCTCAGATTCAGGAGGAGCAATGTGGTTTTCATCCTGGATGTGGAACACTGGACCAGCTCTATACCCTTAGGGGGATCCTGGAGGGTTCGTAGGAATATGCCCAACCAGTCTACATGTGTTTTGTGGATTTGGAGAAGGCGTTTGACCGCGTCCCTCGGGGGGCCCTGTGGGGGGTACTCCGGGAGTATGGGGTACCAGGCCCTCTGAAACGGGCTGTTAGGTCCCTGTATGACCGGTGTCAGAGCTTGGTCCGCATTGCCGGCAGTAAGTCGGGCTCGTTCCCAGTGAGAGTTGGACTCCGCCAAGGCTACCCTTTGTCACCGACTCTGTTCATAACCTTTATGGACAGGATTTCTAGGTGCAGCCAAGGTGTGGAGGGCATCTGTTTTGGAGGCCTGAGGATCAGGTCTCTGCTTTTTGCAGATGATGTGGTCCTGTTGGCTTCATCAGAACGTGATCTTCAGCTTTCGCTGGAGCGGTTCACAGCCGAGTGTGAAGCAGCTGAGATGAGAATCAGCTCCTCTAATTCTGAGACCATGGTCTTGAGTCGGAAAAGGGTAGAATGCCTTCTCTGGGTCAGGGATGAGGTCCTGCCCCAAGTGGAGGAGTTTAAGTATCTTGGGGTCTTGTTCACGAGTGAGGGAAAACTGGAGCATGAGATCGATAGACGGACTGGTGCTGCATCTGCAGTGATGCGGGCGTTGTACCGGTCTGTCATGGTGAAGAGAGAGCTGAGTCAGAAGGCAAAGCTCTCGATTTACCGGTAGATCTACGTTCCTACCCTCACCTATGGTCATGAGCTTTGGGTAGTGACCGAAAGAACGAGATCACGGATACAAGCGGCCGAAATGAGTTTTCTTCGAAGAATGTCTGGGCTCTCCCTTAGAGATAGGGTGAAAAGCTCGGTCATTCGGGAGGGGCAAAGGAGTAGACCCGCTGCTCCTCCACATCGAGAGGAGCCAGTTGCGGTGGCTCGGGCATCTGGTCAGGATGCCTCTTGGACGCCACCCTGATGAGGTTTTCTGGGCACGTCCAACCGGGAGGAGACCTAAAAAAAGACCCAGGACACGGTGGAGGGACTATGTCTTTCACCTGGCCATGGAACGCCTTGGGATTCCCCCGGAGGAGCTGGCCCAAGTGGCTGGGGAGAGGGAAGTCTGGGCCTCTCGCCTTACGCTACTGCCCCCGCGACCCGACTCCGGATAAGTGGATGAAAATGGATGGATGAACAGATAAGTTCTGTGGTCCAGAACGTGTTCTTTCATTTGCGTGTTGTTAGTAATGTCAAGCCCTATTTGCCAATTAAAGACTTTGAAAAGGTTATACACCTGCTAACCATGTCGAGACTTGACTACTGCAACTCTCTATATCATGGACTGGAGCAGTCGTCAATTCACCGCTTGCAGGTTCAATTCAATTCAATTCAAGTTTATTTATAAAGCGCCAAATCACGACAAGAGTCGTCTCAAGGCACTTCACATAATAAACATTCCAATTCAGGTCAGTTCATTAAGCCAATCAGAAATAATGTTTCCTATATAAGGAACCCAGCAAATTGCATCAAGTCACTGACTAGTGTCAGTGACTATACAGCAATCCTCATACTAAGCAAGCATGCAGCGACAGTGGAGAGGAAAACTCCCTTTTAACAGGAAGAAACCTCCAGAGAATCCTGGCTCAGTATAAGCAGCCATCCTCCACGACTCACTGGGGATGGAGAAGACAGAGCACACACACACACACACACACACACACACACACACACACACACACACACACACACACACACACACACACACACACACACACACACACACACACACACACACACACACACACACACCCTAACCCTAGTAAATATTGTATTTGGTGAGAGATAAACTTTATTGTATTTATCCTAGTGGATCTATAATTAAACAGGTAAACTAGTAGTAGCACATCCAACGTCAAGGAAAACAAAATGTTATTATCAGGAGAGAGAGAATGTTTAAGTGGTTAGCAGCAGTGTGCTAGTCGATGGCCCCCTCCATGTGGCCACCACAGCTCAGCAGAACATCGTTGTAGCTTCTTCTGGGGAGAAAAACACTTAGAGAGAAAATAAAGTTAACAGCTGAAATAGCAGAAAATAGTACAGTTAAAGAGCAGATTGTAGAAGAAAGCAGTAGAGTGTGAAAAGTGGTCAGTGTATCCTCCAGCAGTCTAAGCCTATAGCAGCATAACTACAGAGATAACTCTGGATAATCTATCCTATTTAGATGTAGGCATGTTGGAGGCAGGGCAAGGGAGAGTCGTCTTTACCGACTGTACACTCCACCTCCCTCTACTCCCCCACTTGTCCAGATCTAGGCTAACATCAGATTTTAACCATAGGCCCTATCAAATAAAAATGTTTTAAGCCTATTCTTAAAAGTAGACAAGGTGTCTGCCTCACAGACTAAGACTGGGAGCTGGTTCCACAGGAGAGGAGCCTGATAACTAAAAGATCTGCCTCCCATCCTAATTTTAGATATTCTGGGAACCACCAGTAGACCTGCAGTCTGAGAGCGAAGTGCTCGGTTAGGAACATATGGAACAATCAGATCACTGATGTATGATGGAGCTTGATTATTAAGAGCTTTATATGTGAGAAGAAGGATCTTAAAATCTATTCTGAATTTAACAGGTAGCCAATGTAGGGAAGCTAAGACAGGAGAGATATGATCTCTCTTTTTAATTCTCATCAGAACTCTAGCTGCAGCATTTTGGACAAGCTGAAGACTTTTAACTACATTCTGTGGACTTCCAGAGAGTAATGGATTACAGTAATCCAGTCTTGATGTAATAAATGCATGAACTAGTTTTTCAGCATCACTCCTGGAAAGGATGCTTCTAATCTTAGCAATATTCCGAAGGTGGAAAAAGGAAATCCTACAAACCTGTTTAACCTGGGATTTGAATGACATGTCCTGGTCAAAGATAACACCAAGGTTCCATACTTTGTTCTCGGAGATTAATGTAATGCCATTCAGGTCATGCGATTGGCTAAGCAATTTCCTTTTCTGGATTTCTGGTCCAAAGATGAGAACTTCCATCTTGTCTTGATTTAAGAGCAACAAGTTTAGAGTCATCCAATTTTTTATGTCCTCAAGACAAGCCTGTAATCTACCCAACCGATTAGGTTCATCAGGGTTAATGGATAAATATAGCTGAGTATCGTCAGCATAACAGTGGAAGTTTATCCCATGCTGTCTAATGATTTGACCAATTGGGAACATATATATAGTAAAAATAATTGGTCCAAGCACTGAACCCTGTGGTACTCCGCAAGTAACCCTGGAGTATGAAGACGATTTGTCATGTACATTTACAAAATGAAATCTGTCAGACAGGTAGGATTTAAACCAGCCTAACGCTGTACCTTTGATCCCTACAACATGTTCAAGTCTTTCTACAAGAACTTTGTGGCTCAGAATGCGGCAGCTCGCTTGCTGACAGGTAGGAGACGCAGGGATCACATAACTCCGGTCTTACAAGCTCTTCACTGGCTCCCGATCACTTACAGGATTCAATTTAAAATGCTACTGATCTGTTTTAAGGCACTAGCCCCTCTCTATCTGTCGGAACTTTTAAACACTCATGTCCCCAAAAGAAACTTGCGATCATCCTCTCTACGTCTTTAACCTCTTCCCGAGTCTAGGCTGAAGTCCAGAGGCGACAGAGCTTTTTCTGTGGCTGCTCCCAAGCTCTGGAACAGCCTTCCCCTACAGATTAGGTCTGCTAACAGCCTTTCTGCTTTTAAGTCTCTTTTAAAAACCTACCTTTTTTACCTTTGCTTTTAAATAAATAACAGATGTCTTCGTTCATTTATTTTACATAGGGCCTACTGGATGTTTCTCAGTGTTTTATTTTTTCTGCTCGTCTGTGTACAGCACTTTGTGCATCTCTGATTGTTGGAAATGTGCTTTATAAATAAAGTTGACAATGACATCTGTTAGTTCTGGGACACGCCTGGAGACGCTGATTTGCTACACTCCATAGACTCGAATGGATTCTATCTGAGGCAGTGACGTTCCACCTGGGGTTACCCTTCTGTAGAACCAGATTAATAATCTCACATTACATGTTTCTATCATTTCAATGTTCTGAAACAAAAAACACGTTTTATTAGAATAGAAGACAAACTTTAATCGTTTTAACTGGTGACCAGTCAGACCAGCATGAACAGGTAGACCAGTATAACCAACCAGACAAGTAAAACCAGTATAGCCAGTATAACTAGTCAGACCAGTATAACCAGTGACAGCCACACCCACTGGTCCAGGACTGATGCAGGTTCTTATCCAATCAGAGAAGAGGAAGTCTCAGATCAGCTGATCTTCATGTGATTAAACAGCAGAGTCCAGATCAGACCTGGTCCAGGAGGTCCTCCAGAACCACCTCCTGGACCAGGATCAGAGCTGCAGAAAGTCAAGAGTTCTGGTTCAGATCTAGAGCAGTCGGGTCAGAACCAGAACCACTGGAGACAGGAAGCAGCAGCAGAACCAGGATCAGTTACTGGGAACCAGAATACGTCCTGGAAGAGAAGAGACACCGGATCAGCATCAGAGAACTGGTACTGGTCCAGACTGGTCTGGATCAGCATCAGCAGGTATTCAGGTCTAACCTGGGTCACATGGGCCAAACTAGCACTGACCCATCTGACCCAGGATCAGTTGTGTCAGCTATCTCAGACATCCAGAGCTTCCTGGTGTTACCATGGCAACAGGGAGGACGGGTGGGTTCCAGGAGCCTAATCTACGTCTGGACCATGGGTCTGGTACTGCCCATGAACGAATGAGAGTCTATGAGAGGTTCTGATCCGGTTTGTTACGGGCCTTAGGGGTTTCACACAAAGGTGGAGGAACCTACCATGTGGTCAGTAGCAGCTACGCTGGGGAGGAGAGATGCTGCTGTGATGTCATAGATGACACGTCTGATCTGTTGTTGTTTAAATGATTAACGTTTACAAGCTGATGAGTCTGTATTATGAGACAAACGTAATTATTTATCATGTAAACTGAAGAACAGCATGCGTGTGATCCAGGGTGGAAGGGTTAGAACGTAACGTAGAGCTGCTTCAGGGACCCACCAGCCGGCCAGAGGGGGCGGAGCCTAAGGCTCCCTATGCTGAGCTTAGTCATTTATCCAGGTTGATGTAATCTTTTCATGGTGCTGCTACCCTCAGTACCATCATGGCTGTGGCCGTCTGTCTGTCTCACTCTCGGCTCTGGTGTGAGAGTGAGACAGACAGACGGTCTGATTCTCTGTGGCTTCCTGCTACCGCTGAACTAGCAGGTAAGGTATTTACCGTAATAACCCAGTCTGAATTTTTTCATGGCACAAACGTTTGCAGAGTTACGGTAATTCACTGTTAACGTGTGACTTGGGTAGAAAACGGGCCAGGTGGCTCATCTTGGTGAAAGAGTGTAATAAATACATCTGCAAGCTTAGAGTAATGTATGATGTCACTTCCTGTCACATCAGTATCACTGTACATAGTCAACGTGGTGCTGAAGCTTGAGTTGAAGATAATCATGAATCAAACTGTAATCTTCATTTCTGCCAGAAAAATCCCGAACCAGAGCCTCTGATGTTGATTACTCGTGTTTGTGCTGTTAGCTAACCAGGAAACCAAGATGGCGTCTGCTCATCAGAACATAAACTGGATCAGAATCAGCTGGTTTGGCTCTGACCTCTAGACTTCCTCTTGTAGTAAATGAATCCAGCCAGAGACAAGATCAGACCCAGGATCAGCCCTGAAGCTCCGATGGCGATCTGGTTCCTCTCTGATTCAGGCATGGACGGTTCTAGGGCCAGACAGGTGAGACACAGACAGGTGAGACACAGACAGATGTCCCGCAGACAGGTGAGGGTCAGACAGGTGAGACAGACAGGTGTGACACAAAGGTGAGACACAGACAGATGTACCACAGACAGGTAAGACACAGACAGGTGTGACACAAAGGTGAGACACAGACAGATGTACCACAGACAGGTGAGACACAGACAGGTGTAACGCAAAGGTGAGACACAGACAGGTGTACCACAGACAGGTGAGACACAGACAGACATACCACACAGGTGAGACACAGACAGGTGAGACAGAGACAGGTGGGACAGACAGGTGAGACAGACAGGTGTAACACAAAGGTGGGACAGACAGGTGAAAAACAGACAGATGTACTGCAGACAGGTGAGACAGAGACAGGTGTAATACAGACAGATGTACCACAGACAGGTGAGACAGACAGGTGAGACACAGAAAGGTGTAACACAAAGGTAAGACAAAGACAGGTGAGACACAGACAGTTGTACCACAGACAGGTGAGACACAGACAGTTGTACCAAAGACAGGTGAGGGTCAGACAGGTGAAACAGAGGCAGGTGAGACACAGACAGGTAGCGACAGACAGGTGAGACACAGACAGGTGTGACACAAAGGTGAGACACAGACAGATGTCCCGCAGACAGATGAGGGTCAGACAGGTGAGACAGACAGGTGAGACATAGACAGGTGTGACACAAAGGTGAGACAGATACAGGTGAGAAATGGACAGATGTACCACAGACAGGTGAGACACAGACAGGTGTAACACAAAGGTGAGACACAGAAAGATGTACCACAGACAGGTGAGACACAGACAGGTGTGACACAAAGGTGAGACACAGACAGATGTCCCGCAGACAGGTGAGACAGACAGGTGAGACACAGACAGGTGAGACACAGACAGGTGTACCACACAGGTGAGACACAGACAGGTGTACCACACAGGTGAGACACAGACAGGTGAGACAGACAGGTGAGACACAGACAGATGTACCACACAGGTGAGACACAGACAGGTGAGACAGACAGGTGAGACACAGACAGATGTACCACACAGGTGAGACACAGACAGGTGAGACACAGACAGGTGAGACAGACAGGTGAGACACAGACAGATGTACCACACAGGTGAGACACAGACAGGTGTACCACACAGGTGAGACACAGACAGGTGAGACAGACAGGTGAGACACAGACAGATGTACCACACAGGTGAGACACAGACAGGTGTAACACACAGGTGAGACACAGACAGGTGTAACACACAGGTGAGACACAGACAGGTGAGACAGACAGGTGAGACACAGACAAATGTACCACAGACAGGTGAGACACAGACAGGTGAGACACAGACAGATGTACCACACAGGTGAGACAGACAGGTGAGACACAGACAAATGTACCACAGACAGGTGAGACACAGACAGGTGAGACACAGACAGATGTACCACACAGGTGAGACAGACAGGTGAGACACAGACAAATGTACCACAGACAGGTGAGACACAGACAGGTGAGACACAGACAGATGTACCACACAGGTGAGACACAGACAGGTGTACCACAGACAGGTGAGACAGAGACAGGTGAGACACAGACAGATGTACCACACAGGTGAGACACAGACAGGTGAGACACAGACAGGTGTACCACAGACAGGTGAGACAGAGACAGGTGAGACACAGACAGATGTACCACACAGGTGAGACACAGACAGGTGAGACAGACAGGTGTAACACAAACGTGAGACAGACAGATGTACCACAGACAGGTGAGACAGACAGGTGAGACACAGACAGGTGAGACACAGACAGATGTACCACAGACAGGTGAGACACAGACAGATGTACCACAGACAGGTGAGACAGACAGGTGAGACACAGACAGGTGAGACACAGACAGATGTACCACAGACAGGTGAGACACAGACAGGTGAGACACAGACAGATGTACCACAGACAAGTGAGACAGACAGGTGAGACACAGACAGGTGAGACACAGACAGATGTACTACAGACAGGTGAGACACAGACAGGTGTAACACAAAGGTGAGACACAGACAGATGTACCACAGACAGGTGAGACATAGACAGGTGTACCACAGACAGGTGAGTACCCCAGTCGGTGATCAGAGGTTCCTTCAGGCTGGCGTGCTCCACCATACAGGAGATCTTCTCTCCAGACCTGCAGGTACATAAACATCTCTGAGCCTCTCAGAACTCCTGGATCTGGACCAGAACCAGAACCTGGAGCTGGACTCACCTGGGAGTGTACTCCAGGTGAGACAGGACCTGGTAGTACCAGTCCCCATCTGGCATCTCCTCAGTAGTGGTGACATCAGATGTGTCCACGTGTCCGTCCTTCAGCCAGGAGACTTTGATGTTCTTGGGGTAGAAGCTGAAGACTCTGCAGACCAACATGGAGTCATGGTGACCAGAGGAGGGTTGGGTGGAGAACAGCCTCACCGTGGGCTTCACTGGGAGGCATGGGGACTATTATTAATGGTTAGTCTGGATTATTATTTGTCTCCAGCTGCTAACAGGGATTATGAGATAAACACAGTTTAATCTGGATTAAACAGCTGGATCTTCTGTTATCACCATCTAAACTAATCTGGATTAATAATCTGGTTACAAACAGATGTGAGTCTGTAGGATTATTTACATCAGACAGGAACAATCAGATGATGATATAAATATTAATTGATCAGATATAGATCTTATCAGTGTTCTAACAGCTGATCAGTTATTAATAATAATGTCTTCATTAATCTGATGTGTATTATCTTGTTACTGTTGTAATAAACATGATTACAAACCTTTAGATTAAATACTAATCTGAGTGATAAACAGCTTTCTACACCAGATTAAGTCAGAATAATAATAAATAATATTAATGCTGATGATGTCATCAGAGATCTGATGTGGAGTCAGTTAGTCTGGATTTAATCTGATGAAGAAACAAACTCACCTGATTTAGTCAGAACGAGCTGGTAATAAATACCAACGTGGTTCAGGCAGTAGGCCTCCCTCTGAGCTCTCATCTGGGCCAGGTACTCAGGTTTGCTGTTCCTGTACTCAGCCTGCTTCATTCCGTACTCCGTGTACCCAACAAACTTCCCCACTCTGCTGTCGAACCTGTACAGCTCCAGCTTGTTGAAGTACCTTGAACGGATGAATTGGATGTCCTCCAGGCGACTGGAGTTAAAATCACAACGATCCACACGATAGTTCAGGAACCCATCTGAGAACAGAACCAGAACCAGGTCATGGACCAGATTATTGATCAGTGACCCCCACATTAATCCCTGATGTTCTAATAGATCCTCTGAAGATTATTGATTCATCTTGTTATGACTGGTTGATCACTTCCTGTTTTATACTGATGTGTTGTGATTGCCAGTTATTGATCAGATTATTGGTTATTGATCAGATTATTGGTTATTGATCAGAGCTGCTGAGCAGATTTATCATGTCTGAAACCAGATGAATTATTAATAATCTGATTCTAGATCTGTAATCCTGCTGTGAAGACTCAAACCTCATTATTGATCATTATATTAATATTACAGATCAGCCAATCATTATTTGTTGATCATTATATTAATTATACTGCTCCTACCTGCTGAGGAGAAGGTGAGGAAGAGGAGGAAGCAGCAGAGTCCTGATGAAGACATGTCTGTGTCTCTGAGTCCAGATCTAAAGTCTGACTCTGTCCCGCTGAGCTGCTGTAAAAACTGAACCAGAGTCACGTGACTGCAGCATCAGCTGTTACCAGGTAGAACATCCTGGCATGAGACACAGGAGATGTAGAAGCTGTAGGAGATCCTCCAGAAGGTCCTGAGAGGAGAGAAGACCTTTGATCTTCTGTCCAGATGTTTGTTCTGGGTTAGGGTTAGAAGTTAGGGTCAGATTTACTAAATAATCCTAATTTCTGTTAGATTAACTGACCCTACACTCTTACAACACTTTACACTGCAGTGTATCACACACACACACACACACACACACACACACACACACACACACACACACACACACACACACACACACACACACACACACACACACACACACACACACACACACATTCACACACTGGTGATGATGAGCTACCATGTAGCCACAGCTGCCCAGGGGCACACTGACAGAGACGAGGCGGACACAGGCACTACCGATCCCTCCGACCACCACCAGCAGGCAAGGTGAGTTAAGGGTCTTGCTCAAGGACACAACAGTAGAACTCTCTGTCAGGAGCCGGGATCGAACCTGCAACCTTCTGATAACTGGACAACCCGCTGTAGCTGCTGAGCTGCTGCTCCTCACCAGGATGGGGCCCGAGGACAGCTGGACCAGCGGATTCATCCTTTCTGACCCTTGAACTCAGCGTGATGACGTAGTCTGATCTGGTTGTTTACCTGAAACGTGCGACTCAGGTGTGACATCAAGACACCTGTGTGCTTTACCAGGTAAACCTGTGTTATGAATGGATGAACTAACAGGTGTCATCCCCATGCTGAAGACCATCAGGATGTTTTTGTTTAAATATTTATGGATGACTTGTTTTAACATGGTTTAATTACTGGATCGAGCTTCCGACTCGGGTGAGTTTCTGTTCTGAAAGCAGGTTTAAGGAAGTCCGTCAGACATGTGACCCCGGCTTTCCACAGGAGCCGTCAGCAGCACGTCATAGCTGCTGATAGGAACCGCTGTGGTCAACAGAACCTTTTCCACTGGAGCCGTCAGCAGCACGAGTCGGCCGCGTCTCAGGAGCAGCATGTCGCGGCCCTTACGCGCCGGTTCTATTTTCTACGCGCGACGCCTCTGAAACGGGTCAAGTTCAACATTTTTGGGGAAGGAAAGACAGGAAATCGGACGCGGAAATGGAGCGAAGCTCTCGAGATTTTCAGAATAAAGAACGTACTGCCTTCCGGTTGCTTTACTTTTAAAAAAGGTTACTAACTGTGCGTCCCCGTGAGAAGTTATCACCTAGCTAGCGGTCTCCTTTGTTTTTCAGGTCCGTATTGGAGATTATAAAACGGACAGAACATAAAACACAAACCATGTTGTAGTTTTCTCCTGCTTGTTGTTGTGTTTACTGACGACGTCACTCGTGTGACTTCGTGCTCGGTCGGTGACAGCTGCTCCCCTGCTGCTTCGCGTCTCGTGGGAAGGGCCAAGCAGCAGCTTACGCCAGCAAGACGTGCTGCTGCAGTAACGTGCTGCTGACGGCTCCCGTGGAAACCCGGGGTGAGTAACACTGACACGCGCCAGCTGCAGAGCTCCTGTAGGAGCGTCTGAATCCATGACTGTAAATGAGAAGTTACTATTGGTCCCACAGCAAACAGCAGCTCGTCCACACAGGAGCGTTCACCTCAGGTCTTCTGTTTCTGACCTTCACCATCTTTAGCGTTGGTTTTGGTTACCGGTTCTTTCTGGTTACTTTATTCTGATGGTAACCCGGATGAATGAAACATGGTTGTTACAAGTTTTGCTCTGTTAATCTAGTGTAATCTGATGTTTCCATGGTTACTCTCAGATTGAAGCAGCTTCTGATAGGACCAGAACCCCGGCAGGAACACAACTAGTGATTCATCTTCATCAGTCATGCTGGATTATTTATCTCCTGCTGCAAACACCTTCATAATTCCCTCTGAACCCTCTCCAGGTTCTGGAGGTTCTGGTCACCCTGACCTGTTTATTAGTGAGTATATGTTTGTTTACTTAAATCTGTTATTAATCACTTCATTCCTGATGACTGAGTTTTATTCTAAATACAATAAAACATGTTTCTCTACAGAAATTATTTAGTAAAACCTGTGACAACAACACGACTGAGTCAGCGATCAGCTGCTGGAGGACTCTACCTGGTCCCTGATGACGTCACGCCCGCTCCGCTCTGTGATTGGCTGACCTGACTTGAGGACTAACAGCTGGGCTCGGTGCGTCTCAGAGCGCTGTAGGACATCAGGACAGTCTAGCAGAAGCTCACACACCTGATGATGAAGATGAAGCTGCTCCTCTTCCTCTGCTGTGTCCTCGGAGTCTCCGCAGAAGGTGAGTCCAGCTCCGGATGGAGCTTGTTTACTTATAAACAACAAACAAACAGCAGGTTGTTAACTGGTCTGTGTTTCAGTTCTAAATACAGACCTGGCTATCAGTGGCTGTTCAGACTCTGATGGAGAGAAGATGTACACTCTGGATGGTGAGGAGATTTGGTATGCTGACTTCAAGAAGGGAGAAGGACTTTCTCCTCAGGCTCCTTTCATAGATCCTCCGATTAGGTTCCAGGAAGGAATTTATGCCCAAGCTGTGGCTGATCTACAGATCTGCAAAAGCAACCTGGACACAGCTCGAAAAGCAACAAAGGACATCCCTCTGGAGCGAGGTGGGTCAAATAAACTCTCAGCTGTTCACACACACACACTCACACATGCGCGCACACGCACACACACACACACACACACGTCCCTTAGCTTCCCTAGGAGCACGATGGTGTTTGAGGGAGTAAAGAAGATTCTGTAGCGGAATGAAACAAACTGATTTTAAAACTCTTAGAAGGAAATTTATTAACACAAACTAAGCTCTGGGCTGAAAAGGAAACAAAAAGGTCATCCAAGACTGGTGAGAGAGCCAGTTTAACTGAAGGTGTAGTTATTGGTTTTGACACTAGATGGAGGCAAACCCACTGATCTTTTGAACAAGTCACTGTCTCCACCTCTATTTAATCATGGTGCAAATGGGCACAGGTGTGTTGGATGGAGACAGGGGCAAACACTTTTGGACCGGGCTGAAGAGGGTTAGATTATGTTGGAGCTTACAGAAAGAATTGATTGACTATGGGAACAAATGTCAGATGGAGCTGTAAGAAAATAAAAGAACATTTTATTTCACCCCACGCATCAACTGGTCTGTCCTCTTCCATCACCTGTGGTGGATGGGTTTCGTTTGGAGAAACTTTGGCCCCACAACTGGGAATCAATAACAAAATGAATTTCTAACTAATAAAATGATTTCTAATAAACAAAAAGCGCAGCGCAAAAGGGCTGAAATAAGGCTAAACAAATGAACACAACAACTGCACCAAAAGGGTGAGCAAAGTCTCAGTGAATGAGGACACACGAACTACTATTATTACTATGAACAAAAATTACCACTCAGGTTGAAAAACTAGAAATACCACTCAGGTAATCACACAAGACTTTAACGTCTTACACCGAGGAGAGCTAGAGGAGACTCAACACCCAACTGAAGTCTCTCCTTGAATGACAGCCAGAGCTCCCTTTTAACAGGGAGGCTCAATCAATCTAACAGCCAGCAGCTGTGCAGGCAGAGTACTGAGGGCCTCTAGTGGCCAGAAAGTGACAGTGTCTGTCACGCCCCCCCCCCAAACAACAACTAAAAGGAAACAAATGACTAAAGTTGTTGTAACTGAAATAACCAATGAGAGCTCCTGTTGGGTAATTTCTATATTACTCCCAAATTACCTCAAAAAGCATACACACCAGAGCCAGAGGTGGTGTGTTCTCACACAGAAGCAAAGCTGCGGAGAGCTTTTATTAGGAACCACACCTAGTCAGAGATAACCACACCTACACATCACAGAAGACAACCGGAATTCTTCAAAGAGGCCTTCACAGCATGATGCTACAGACACAGACCAAGGAGTCTCCCAGTCTAGTCTTGGTTTGGCTGCTTAGGGAACAATTTGCATTCAGGCAGGAAGGCATTTCTACAACAGTTTAAATGTAAATCATAGTGAAAAACTCTGTTTGACCATCAATTTTTACCTATCAGCTCCTGCTAGCTAAACACCCCCCCAAAAAAACTAACTTAACTAATCCCTGGATCTCAGAAGGCGGGCAGATTAAACACAAAACTATCACGCAGCGCTGATCCCCAGCGCTGCGGAGTGTTCCCGAGATGTCTGCGCAAGCAGACAACACTAGCCGTGTACGAGATCTTACATCTAAAACAAAATCTACAAGGGAGCCTCATTTTTAAAACTGCGAGAAAGGGCGTCTGCCATGGTGTTTTCAGTCCCCTTCATGTGACGGATCCCCAGGGCGAATTCTTGTAGTAGGAGGGCCCATCTCATCAAACATTGGTTGTGGTTGTACATGCGGTGGAGAAAGGTCAGCAGATTATGATCTGTAAATGCAATAGTGGTGAATTGACTGTTTCCAACATAAACACAAAAATGTTGCAGGGACCATATAAGAGCTAAGCAGTGGCGGCTGGTGAAAAATATTTTTGGTGGGGCTGTGCTATTTTATTTTAAACAAACTTGTGCTTTCTGAGCTTTGTGCACAACTTCACTATTTCCTGAATTAAGCACAGCTCTTTTATTTCCTGTCTTACATCATTGGACAAACTGATTAATCCAGGTGTGTCTGACTATTGGCACGCTGCCTTGCGGACCAAGGTTGAAAAATACTGCATTAAATTGCACATAAAATAACACGACCATATATGGTAAATAGGCAATGCAAGAGGCAAGTAACAAAAACATTTTGTTTAATTTCAACATTTGAGTGAACATGAAAAATTATGAGCAGGTCACTGTTACAGTAATGGTAGTAAACACTACTTAGACAAAATGCCAGAAATTTACACTGTTAAATATTTCTGGAGTGTTGTGCCAAGGTCAACTTTATACAAAGATCAAGTGGATGCATGTGTGTGTGTGTGTGTGTGTGTGTGTGTGTGTGTGTGTGTGTGTGTGTGTGTGTGTGTGTGTGTGTGTGTGTTACCTCATTTGTACAGAAATTTTGCCCTTCTGTCCTTCTGAGTGGCAAAGCTCTCGATGAGCTTTTTATTGAAGTCAGGAATGTTTGTGACAAGCTTTTATTCCATGGAGAGCATGGCAAGAGCATTCAGCCCATCCTGTGTCATGGTGTTCCTCAGGGAAGTCTTAATCCTCTTTAAAGTAGAAAAGCACCTTTCTGATTCGGCTGTGGTCATGGGTGTGGTGACAAGAATCTTCTTTTGCATGGCTCAGGATGGTGTGAAAAACCTGTCATATGATCAATAAAAAACAACAGATAAGTACATAGGAAACACTTTCATAGGAAATAATGTCATCAGTATCCTCTTACAAATGTCATATTTCCCAGTTTTTGGGACAATAAAACATTTCTGATTCTCAATCAGATGTTTTTACATTTGAGGTAAAAACATCTCATTGAGAATCAGAAATGTTTAATTGTCCCAAAAGCTGGGAAATGTGTTTGCTGCAGCAGAAGTGTAACAAGTAAAATGTAATCAGATTGATGTATGTACAAATTTACATGAAATACACATTTACATGATTAAATATGTATAATAAGTATGTGTGTTGAAATTAGTTTTTACAGTTATTGCACATTAAACATGTTATTAAACAAATGTCCCGGTTTGTGGGACAACCAAGGATTTCTGATTCTGATTGTCTTGTTCACAGAAATGTAATGTACAGCTTACCTCTGCACCCAGCTGCTGTTGTTCCCTGCATGGCAACGTTAGCTCTGCTGCCTAGCATGGCTAGCTTCACCGTGTTGTTGTCCATGTGCGCCCGGGATGACTCGTGTTTCTTCACCTTCTCAGAAAAATGTTTCATGTCTGTAACTCCTGACTCATCCATGCCTTATCTGTCCCAGCCGTTTTGAATAACAAACACGGAAAGCAAAATAACGCATTAGCGTGATTGCATCCAGCTAGCCACTGCTTCCTGGTGTACCAATGTCGGGAGAAGCCTCGTGTGTACAGTTTACCTCTCTCCTTCTCCTGCTGGCTTATCTTTACGTCGGGCTGATCTGGTCCAAGCTCTTTGACATTAAGTTTTTCCACCATAGTTCTCCTCTCGAACGGATACTGGAGAAGAGACCGAACTGAATTCAGTGGCTGCTGAGATCCGGTATCCATGCTGGTTGTAGTCACCGGCGGCGTCCATGCTACATCTGCGTCACGACCAAAAACGACTCTGCCGAGTTCTACCGAACACCAACGAATCCTTTGGCGGTAGCTCTATCGCCCATCATGCTTCTGAAACGTTCTGAAACAACGTCGACGCTGATTGGAGACATTCCCATTCCTACCCTTTGATTTTCTTGTCAGCAATTGGACAGCTGGTCTCGTCCTGTTTGGGCGATTGAAAAACAGCACACAGCCTCCACCGCTCGGCAGAGACCAATATATATATATATATATATATATATATATATATATATATATATATATATATATATATATATATATATATATATATATATATATATATATATGATTTATTTTTGTTACAAAACACACAATTAACTTAGAATATGTGATTATTGTTAATTTTATTTATTTATTTTTTAATAAAAATTAAAAACACGGAAAAACTGGGAGGGCGGCGCCCTATCGCCCTCTACTGGCCAGCCGCCACTGGAGCTAAGGTCTCCTTCTCAATGGTGGAATAATGTTGTTGTGCCAGGTTAAACTTCCTTGAGAAGTAGCAGATGGGGTGATCAAGTCCACCAGCGTCTTCTTGGAGTAGCACAGCTCCAGCTCCGACATCAGAGGCATCAACCTCGAGCTTAAAAGGTCTGGAAAGGTCAGGGGCTGTAAGAACTGGAGCACAACAGAGTAGGTCACATAGAGCAAGGAAAGCCTGGTTACATTCGGAGGTTCAAGAAAATGGGATGTTGGTGCTTAACATGTCTGTGAGTGGTTTGGCAACAGTGGAAAAGTTACGGCAGAAGCAGCGGTAATAACCGGTCATGCCCAAAAATCGACGGAGTTCTCTGCGTGTGGTCGGTGGCGGAAATGAAACGATTGCCTGGATTTTATCAGAGAGTGCCCTCACTTGTCCTTGTCCTACCTCTTTCCCTAAATAACGGACAGTGGCTTTCACAAACTCACACTTAGCGAGATTTAAAGTCAAATTAGCCATCTTCAGTCGGTCAAACACTTGGGCTAAGGTCTGGAGGTGAAGATCCCAGGACGGAGTGTAGATGACGATGTCATCGAGACACGCGCTGCAATGAGGCACATTAGACAAAACCTGGTTTACTAAACGCTGGAATGTGGCCGGAGTGTTCCTCAAACCGAATGGCAACACGGTGTACTGGAGCAGGTTATCTGGAGTAACGAAAGCAGAAACGTTAGAAGCAAACAGAGTTAGAGGCACCTGCCAATAACCTTTATGAAGATCCAGCTTGGTAACAAATGAAGCTGAACCGACACTATCCTCACAATCCTCCACACGAGGCAAAGGAAATGAATCTGGCACGGTTTTGGCGTTTAACTTCCGGTAGTCTGTAACAAACCTATATGAGCCATCAGGTTTATTTTCCAACAAACAGTTGCTAGGCCATGTTCTAACAGATAAGTCACCTCATTTCTCATTAACTCTCTTTTCATCGTACT